TAATTGGTTGACGATGTAGATTTATGTATGAAAGACTTACTAGGTACCCTAGGAAAGGATGGACGGACTAAGTACATAAGAAAAACCTTACCGTAGACATTATCTTAGTCGAACGGGGCTGAGAAGTTTTATACCGGAAGAGGTTGGGAGGTATAGTTCACCCTCGTACCGGATAGGGTATTGAGGCGGTGGCACGTTTGGCGCCCATTGTCGGACAGAGTATGGGAACGATCTATTGATTAATAAATTGGATATAGGGTTCACGTGTAAGGGGATATCCCTATGTACTCTCAGGGATACTGGTAAATGGGTAAGTTTTTTGTTATTACATATTTGAATATGAAATCACAATATTATTTGGGTTATTGTCTTCATAAGTTAGTTTAGAAACTCATAAAGGTAAGTATGACATAATACTTTTTGAGTTAAATGAATTTATAAAAAAATAATGGCTGCATTGGTTGTTTTATGATTTTTTTACCAACATTTGATTTTCCGTATCGGTGTTAAATGTGATATTTTTACTAGATTAGTATAATTTATTTCCCTATTTAACAATTTCATATCAGAAAGATCAAGATCCAGATCCTAAATAGTAAGAGAGTTGTGAATAAATATACTTCCTGAACTACATCAGAGTTACCCAGATGTTAACCTTATAGGACTTTTATTCTGTTACTTTGAACTTATATAAAGGGACATTGTCGTATTCTTTTTAAGTATTCTAATTTACTGTGTAAGAAATGTAAATCCTAAATTTTAAATTGTTTTCGCTTATAGTTGGTATAATTCAATATTTCTATTTTCTTAAATTTTGAGTCTTTACAGTAACACTCATAGCTACAGCTCTAACTTGATTATTTTCTAATATAATAATAATATGCCAAAATTTGTTATAAAATTTCTCAAATATAAAAGAATCTTCATTAGTAAGTTAATCGGTTAATTCAATAAGAAATAAGAGTTAGCAGTTGATTTCGTTGGTACCATCCAACTGAATTGTCTAATCGTTACTCTTCAATTCATAATTTATTCATACTAATTTTTATGAATATTTATTCAAAATAAATCGAATCGGATCATATTAGACCAAATAAAAAAATTAAAATATAAAATTTTCAAATTGAGAATAAAAACAATATAAAAGAAAATCAAATTATGCTATCAAGTATGAACTAAAAGTCTAAAAAAAATCATCAAAATTAACACTTCAACTAATATTAAAAATAATAAAAACTAGATGAATCTGAAATTTAAATTTTCAAAGAGTTTATATTGCAAAATATAATTCTTGTTCAATGCATTATGGTTTGTCTTTTTGTTTTTTGATTATATCAATTCAACTTTTTTTGGTAAGGATCAAATAATAAGCATTCATATTATTCTTGATTATGGATTAAAACATACATCATGATGCTCTGAAATTCTGAGTTGAAATATTGTTGTCATCTTTAATTATGTTTTTAAGAAAACTTGGGTAATAAATAACACTTATTGTATCATCATTTATACAAATAAAAAAAAGAGAAGAAGAAATCTAAGAAGCACCATTTTTTCCAAGGGAAGAGAGAAGGAGATCTTGTTGCGTTTTTTTTTTTTTTTTTTTTTTTTTTTTTTTTTTTTTTGAAAAATCTATTGATTAATTATTTACGGGGAGGTAAAGGGGGGAAGTTAAGGGAAATCTTGGTGCGTTTTTGAAAAAACTATTGGTAGGGGAAGAGAGATTAAAGTGAAATCTTAAGAAAACAAAACCCCCCTCTTTCCCTTATTTTAAACGAAAACTTAATTAATTTTTAAATTTAATTAAATATTTTCCTTAGTTT